ATAAAGTTGCATACAAAGATGTTATAATGCGGCCAAGTTGAATTTTTTTTTAAGTGGTCCTGGCCTAAAGCATACTTTTTCTCACCATGGATCTTTGGATTCTGTGCCTACAATTAATAGGATTAATCTAAGAGATAACCTGAATACTTTAGTATCAAATATTAGTAAAGCATTTTTTAGGTTATTATTTTCCCTTTGTAAGTACCTGCACTCTTCCTACATACTTTTCGAGATAATGGATGACCTTTGTCGACATGTATTATTTTTCCTTTGTAAGTATCTCATTCCGAGACTCCGTTTTCAAAATATTCGCACATGAAATTTAGACGTCATCGACGAATGCGTCTCGTTAACATGTATCATTTTCGCTTGGGCGATAATAGAATAGTTATATGTATTACTAGCTCTGGAAAAGCAACCCAAAAGTAGAACTTCAAGCGAATTAATACGAGAAGAAGTACCGAAAAATGAGCAGTTAAGGACTAGTGTGTAACGTACCCAGGTCAGCCCTGAGAGACTGCGCAACTCAACATTTGAAATCAAAACATTCCTTCCCAAACTACCCGAACACCATGGCACATGATTGTCTAGGTCTAGACAAAGCTACCTAACCTTATTAACAAAATACTATACCACTTACTATACGGTTTTCGCTATAAATAGCGTTGCACGTCATCAACAGAAGAAAATGGCATGCCAATTTAAATCAAGATTTGGCGGATTTATATTCATTATTATTTAGTTACTTTTTAGGAGAATAAGTTGACAGATTCGGAATTTTTTTTACAATGTTGTCAAACGTTATTTCGTTATTTGTTGACATTTGACACTTTGGTTCGGTTTTTGCGTGTGAAAGTTTTCGGTTATTCTTGTGGTTGTTATTATTCATATTCGCTCTTAGTTCAAAAAAATCTGTTCTTTTCAGAACAAAATTGCTGTTTGTTTGTGTACATTCTACCGTTATTTGCATTCGTACTCGCCACAATGCCGAAACATTTGAACGGTAAAGCGAAGGAACTCGTTGCCTCTTTAATTCAATATTTTGAACAGGAACGAGATAATGGGGGTCCCTTATTACCATTAGGTTCAGTTCGAAAGGTAAGAATGGTTTCAATTGCTTCTGACTACTTCTACTAATTGAGATTACCTTCAGCGCGTTGCGGCAGCATTAAATTTAAACATTTCTACAGTCAGCAGAATTTCCCAAGCTGTTAAACAAAACGAAGCTTTGATATCGCCACCAAAGAAAGTTTGCCGAAAGAGGAAAGTTACAGACACACAGTCATTGAATAAAAGAAGTGTAAAAAGCAAAACTGATGGCAAAAGGTGACTTTTATTAAATTGTTGATGCCATTTGCCATTTACATTTGTGACATTTTAGATACATTGTGCTGCATGCGAGAATGGATTCATTTCTGGAGCAGATCTCGTATTTACATCTAACAGTACTGGCGATTACCACGGAGAAATGAATCGGGAAAACTTTTTACAATGGTTTAAAAAACAATTATTAGTAAATTTAGAAGAACCAAGTGTTATCGTATGCTTCTTACCACAACGCCTTATTGACACAAAATTCGAACAACTCGTGGAGAAAAGCAGATATTCAAGATTGGTTACACAATAAGAGAAAGGAATTTTTTGAAACCTTTTTACGATCATATCAGCATACGTTGATTATCATTTTTTGTAGTTCAATAAAATTTCTTGTGTTATGGCCCGTATGAATAAAAGTAAGCAAATGCTTATACTTGCAAAATTCAAAGTAAATACTCGTAAGTGCTCCTTCGCACTGGGCGACTTAGCAGCGCTTCTAAGCAGAAGGACAGGACGCAGTGCAGCGCGGCTAAACCATGCTAAACAGGGGAAGTTACGAGTATTTACTTTGAATTTTTCAAGTATAAGCATTTGCTTACTTTTATTCATACGGGCCTGTCTCGGTTGAATTTACTAGTCTCAAATTCCACTACAGCAAGAGTTGGCCATATGCTGCTCTTGTAAAATAACGTAAAATCAGTCAAGATTTCAAGCAAGCATTAACTTGATATTTATTAGCTGATGGCCTATGCAATGGTTTATAACTTCCGAAACATTTATATAATGCCGCAATGCCCACATTCCTCATCTTTCTGCTCACAACGGCAGCGATACGTTGTAAACAAAATCCTAATAGTAGGTACTACAGACTTAGTAGACTGCACTTTCCTTGAAACCGTCACAGCACAGTAGGAATGGGTTTTATTTATGCACAGTAGGTTGGTTTCACACAGAGAGCCCAAAAAATGATCTCTGAATTTTCTAGTTCCTCTGGATGGTAGAAACATAACCTAAAAGTGTTTCCTAAATAAAAGATTTATATCAGCATACCTTAGAAATATTTGGCAATGCCGTGTATTGTTGACGTCATTAAATCAATGACGTGCAACGCTTTTTATAGCGAAAACCCTATACCTTGTGTTTTTGAAAGTTGCTACAAGGTATGTGTTGCTCGTCGGAATGAGGATCAACTAAGGAATACAAATACAACAAGTACATGCTTTAAAAACGGAAATTTAATAGAAATAAATCGCATTGCAAGATTAAATTTGGAAAATGGTAATGGTAAACCGAGTACAAATATAAAATTAGACTGGGAAAAAAAGAACTGACCAAGGAAAAAACAGCCAACAAATTAATACTAAACTTGATAGTAAAAATAGTTGTGTGTAATTACAGGAATGCATATTATTAATTATAATAGTCGTCAAGTAAATCAACAAAATGTCAAATCATAGGCTCCACTGGGATTCCTAAAGAATTAATATTTGACATGCATAACATAAAAAACGATCATAAAACTTTATAATAAATTCACATATGTTTGGATATTGGGTGGCCAGTCCAAATATCCCACACCGAGTAGTCTTTAGTTGCTCTGGTCTGGCCTTGTATGAAAACGCTAGGGGTTGTACTCTCGAGCATTTCACGTAGAAAGGATACCCCAATGGATACAAAGAATAAAGGCACCGAGAACACGCCGTACGCTTTTAACAGATCTCCGCGCATGTGAGGCCTGGACTTGCCTACGCCCTCTCATGTACGACTAAGCGGGACCCCAACTCTTTCATTCACAGATCTCTAGGACTAGTCCAACGCACTAGTTATAAAGTGCCGGCAGAGCTGTCACAAATCGTTTAAAAAACGATTTAAATCAAAGATCAAAGATGCATTTCATTTTAACAAATGATTTAAATCAAAGATACTTTTGTCAATAAGAAAGTATTTAGATAATAAATCATTTTGAGATTTAAATATTTTTTGTGATTTAAATCTTTTTAGAAAGTATTTAAGATACTTTCAATGTATTTAATTCATTCAAAAAGGTTTAAATCTAATTTTGTTAATTTAAATCACGTATAAAGATTTAAATAATGTAATGATGTAATGATTTAAATCTTTTCCGATGATTTAATCGTTTTGTGACAAAAGGTTTGTAAAGGATTTAAATTCAATAAAACTGATTGGTCTGATGATCTTGCTCGAAACCCATTCATCAATATACTTACCATTTCTACCGTATTTTATTGTTATTATTTATTAAATTAAAATATGTACCTATTTTTTTGCGAAAGAACTTTTAAAAAACCAAGACATCGTCAATCTCAGTAGGTATACTCGATTTTGTAATAAATACATATAAACGTCTACCGAAATAAAACCCGGGTTAATTAGCTTAGTCAGGTTGAAATAAATCAAGAGAATTTGTTAGTATGTATTAATTAAATCGTCTCTAAAAGATTTAAATCACTCGGAAACGATTTAAATCTTTTCGAAAGTATTTAAATCTTTTTAAAAGATTTAAATCATTTTTTAAGTTCAAAATCAAAGATAGTTTTCATGAAGATTTAAATCTTAAATCAAAAATCATTTTCCGTAAAAAGATTTAAGATCAAATGATTTAAATCGAAAAAAGTATTTAAATCATAAAAAAGATTTAAATCTTATTAAAAGTGACAGCTCTGCCTACATACACTATATTTGGATAGTGTCTCGAGACCAGGCGAGACCAAACGAGACTAGACGAGACGAGACGAGACGAGACGAGACTGAACCAGGACGAGACGAGACTCAGACTTGGTCTCGTCTCGAGGTAACGAGACGAGACGAGACTTTCGAAAGTCTGGTCTCGTCTCGTCTCGCGGCAACACTACATTCGTTATAGTGCTAACGGACGAATGGACGGACAGACACCACAAAATTATAAACTCGCTAGGAGCTTGTTAATAAATGAATTAATGATGAACCCAACACAGACAACGGAAAGTGACGACCAGGATAGAATGTTGTAACTTGCTTTTTAAGACTTTTATGCCGTTCATTTTGATTGCAATTACCTTACAGGAAAATGGATCTGTTCACTTAAACAGGAAAATGAAAAGTTATCGCGCGCCTGATTGAGTTGACTCGAATGAAGACAACGAAAATAAACTCGCAATATCAAATAATGACGTATATTAAAAAAAAAATCAAAAATCCATACACCGCTTCTGCTTATCTCGTTTCGTATTTAAATTTTATTTTAATATCCGATACTGAAATTTTCTATTTCTTCCTAGTAGCCACCCTTTTTAGCGCATTCTTTGAGTTAAAAAATGTGCTATTGTTTGCGTTTTGTCCGTCCGTTTGTCCGTCCGGACCCACTTCTGCCGTTTTGAACGACTTCTAGGGGATCGATGGTGATCCTGAACGAAAGCATATGAAAACTTTTGACAAAGAAAAACTCGTCACATGAACTTAGTCTCCATGACAACGTAATCTTCCGTGGAGCGGCATGGACCAAGCCATTGAATAAAAAAACCAAGCGTAATTGTACCTGCCTTGTGAGTGGTGAAAATGCAGGCCCCTGCTGCCATTGGGAGAATATGGAACACGATGTAGAATACCTTGTAAATGAATGCAAATGTTGTGCAGATACAGCAATGACCCAAGTCACCCAAGTATGATAATGGTTCAGATAATAATTGAAAAAAAATTCATATAGATTTCGCAGGACAATTCCAAGGACATTATTTCTTTGCTCGCTCCAAATGGCCGGAAATTCAAGCTTCAAAGACCGTGACAATGCTAACTCTGCAAGAAGTATATAGCCGCAATGGTGTAGCCCTATATTGGCTATATCCCAATCGGGTCAAAGTCAAAATTACGTTTATTACATACTTACCTATACCACAGATTATTTATACGGTATATCTTGCATCTTGCGTCTATACCAAGAAATACACATTAATCCCTTTGTCAAATAATTTATATATTATATATATTAATAATTTGGGCTAATTTACTATCAAAAAAAGAATGTACAAAACGTAATCCTATAGACGTAATCGGCTGCATCATATAAGATTGTGAAGGTTGAAATTGCCTTTTCTACATTTCTTGAGTATTGTTTGCTAAAATATCAACACAATCGGGTACCTAAATGGGATAACTTTCAAAATTAAAATATCAACTGGTTCAAAACAAAATTCCCCCAGTTAAGTAATATTAAAACAAATTGACATCTAAATAAATTGCACGGTACCCCCCAAACTATTAACTTTACTTGTTCTGAATTACAAAATAGATAGAAAATAGATTATGGTATCTTCTAACGTTTTCAGTCCTAATCCGATGTTGCGTTGACCTCCACAGATTTTCAGTAGTGAATCCTTGGGAGTACATTTGCATTGGTTAGTATATGGAATTCTGATGTGTGTGTATAATTTATATGCATATACGCTGGGTAGAGCCATGGGGTAGAGCAACCAAGGTAAATTTATACACAGGCAAATTATTTACTAGCGTGGGATTTGCGAAAGGAGAATTCGAAGGTAAAGTACCACAATAACGAGAATTGTTGACTGCATTAATGTGGGGAATTAGTTGTTCCTGTTTATATGTTGTACATTAATAGTCATGGCAACGCTGCAAAAATTAAAAAATAACAAGAATTAAATGCTTCTTTTGTGCGCGTGGGTCGTTGTTTACTTTTACGACATTTATACTAATTACTTAAACTTAAACTTGTAAAATAGTAGGTATTTTACATTTTACATTACTTTTCAATACACGGTATAGATAAGCGCTCCTCGTCCGTTACTTGTAGAAACGATAAACAATTTTCCCATAACTCTTTCGCGATCTTTTGATTATTGACAATACTCGGCACCGAAGTCTCAACCGAGTTCATGAAAAATTTACCTGTTACATTGTCAAGATTTTTTGAAATTGCCACGTATATGGAACCCTGAGCTCCTTCTCTACTACTCTAAAAAGGCAGGTATTAAATTATTTTAAATGAAATCCACGAAACTTACTCTCAATAGTAGTTTAACGCATACGCACATAATTTTTCCTAGGATATTCCATTCGCGCGCAATTCCTGTGTAAACTAAGCATGGATCGACAGTGTTAACGGTAACGCCGCTACTTTTAAGCCTCCTCGCCAATTCATTTGTCAGTATCACGCTACATAATTTAGAGTTGGCATAATTGAACATGGACACTCTTGCAAAGATGGATGGAGAAAAATAATTTAAATCGTTGATATTCAGTTTTGCGTAGTGAATGGATGTCGATCCAACGTTCACAATTCTGCTAGATTTTGTCCTCTTTAACAAATCTGAAAATATCAACATTAGAATAACTTCTTGCAGACAAGACTCATTTCTCTATATTTACAGTTGACATGAACTCCCATCAGGATCATAAATATATATATTACTCTACGTAGGTACAACACAAGTGAATAATCAGCAAAAAAAGGGACACAGACAAGATGAGATTTTCTACGGTTTTGAAAAACGGAAAATTATGAGTAATGGTATGAACAGATGCAGTACGTATTTAGACTTTTGCTCTAAAATAATTAGGGGAGCTAGTAATTGACCATAAATAAATTACCATTGAAATCCCTATGCTGCGTCGCGCTAGGCACCACCCTGTATAAACTGTGTGCATACTAGAAAACAAAACCTACAAAGTTTTTGGATTATGTGAGCAAGGAATATAGTTAACCCACCTATATTATTAACCTACAAAAAAATGATTCAACTTACCTATCAAAAGAAGAGTAAGAAGAAACGGTCCTAAGCTATTGACTTGTAAATTTTTACTGAGGCCATCAACCGTCCTTCCACCTTCCATTATAGCGCCGGCGTTATTAACTAAAATGTCTAACCGGTCCTCGGAATTATTTATTTCTGCAGCAAACGCCCGAACAGATTTCAACGAGGCGAGATCCACTATCCTTACAAATACGTTGGGATTTTGCGTGTCCTCCACAATTTTCTTCCTGGCTTTCTCCGCTAGGGGGATACTTCTGCAAGCCAAAATCACCTTTGCGCCTCGTATTGCGAACTCGAATGCCGTCGAAAATCCGATCCCTAAATTATTCCACTTAGCTACCAATTTGTTGAAGCAATTACTGAACTCACCACTATTGGCGCCTGTAACTATCACCGTTTTACCGGCTAAACAAACTGGACTTTTATTCCATTTCGTCCTCAATCTTGCGATTATTAAAACTACACCTAACAAAATCGGCAAAATCGGAGCGAACGCTAGCAATAGATATAACGCTGTCATTTTCAAGCGTAAGGTGATAAGCAAATCTGCTCGATTGGACCAATGGTCCCCCATATATTTCAACAAATCTTACATAATCTTACATAAATATAAGTGGCGATCAATGTTTACGTAATTAAATGACAAGTTATATACAGGATAAAATGGCAAGGCGTACGGATGGTCGCTAGTGTGCTGTATTTGCGTAAGCAAATCTGAAACACCTTCGTGGCCATTCTGTATACGTAGAAGAAGTGCTATTTGTATTAGTATGGGTTGCGATTTACAAGTGCAATATAGTAAACAATGTCATAAACTTTTACAACATTCGAACCGAACACTCTCCAATTTCAAAATTTACTTTACAATGCTCAACAATAGTTACTTATGTAAGAATAGAATATCAATTCCTTTCCAGTTTTGGCAGCTATGTATGATGAACTCAATAAATGTTTATATAACAGCCGCATACATATGTAATGGAATTGTATATTAAAGGGATTGTTCTGCAAAAACAAAAGCAGAAGTTAAAGTACGTATCTGAAAAGATAACATTTTTTAGATAATCAAACGCTTCCAATAGCCTTTTTTGCACAACAAAAATTCCATTTGCTAACTTAAGTCTCGAGGACAAGTACTCAAATAAGCAGATATATAGGAAGTGAAACAGTATAAATCTAGTTCAAAGGAGAATAAAGTGAGTGTGGGCACATTTGCTTTTAGGAGTATCAGGGTCAGTCAATTTGTTGTGTATTTTTTTTTAAATATGATATTATTAGACTGGCGCTGATAACTGGTGGTCGGCCCTAATTAGTATGGACGTATCTTTGCGATTTTTTGCAAAGCATTTTAAACCTAAAAAGATGGCTTCCAGGAAATTGATGTGTTCCTCCTTTTCCTACTGTGTCCACCAGCCATGGGTACGCTTTCTGCCACACTATTCCCCCCAACCTGACAGAGAGGAATCTGTAAAGATTTCCATTTGGTAGGAATCTTGTTTTATATCATTATGGGCTCGATCTAAATTGCGTAGCCACCAAGAAAATTCATCAAGGATGGGGATATTCATTCTTGCGTTAAAGTTCAATCTTTGTTTACGAAGGCCAAGTACTTGATTCGCTCGAAAGATTTGGTATATAACCATCCATATTTGACGGCAGGACATGCTGAAGCCAGCGTACCAGTAAAACGGGCGAAGTCTCGAATTTTACATGTAGTTTTGGATAGCAGGTGTTTTCTCTTTTTTGTCCTGCGGAAGTTCCATAAGTACGCAGGGAGTAGAAATGTAACATAAAGCCCAGAAATTGACAGCTTTTTGATGGAGTAATTACGCTTTTCTCCCTATTAATGATAAAACCTAAAGATTCCAAGAGATTGACAGTAAACTCTGTATTTTTAATGGAATTGTCGAGTGTTTCCGAGATAATTAAAAAATCATCGAGATAATTTACGCAGATAATGTTATTTAGTCTGAGGTGTTGGACCACTGGTTTGAGCAATTTTGTAAACATGTGAGGAGCTGAAGCGAGACCAAAGAGAAGACAAGTAAATTCAAATAATTGATGATTATGTATACACCTCAATGTGATGTAGCAATGGACACGAGGAAATAGGCATCCTTTAGATCAATGGTAGTTAAATACAAATTCTTTTGGACAAGCTTCAGCACCGTCCGTATGTCTTCCATCTTAAAGTGAGGGGCATCGATGTGTTTGTTTAGTAGTGCGAGAATGAAATTGGTCCATAAGTGGTTTACACTTTACTATAACGCCCGATTTTAATAAGTTGTTTATTTCCCCGTCCATTAAAGACCGTTCCTCTGAAGATAAAGGAAACACTTTTGGCGGTACAAATTGTACAGGTGTACTGATCAACGGTAAAGGATATCCCTTAACCCACTTAAGAATCACCTTATTCGATGTTTGTAGACTTTCAGAAAGCGTTTGACACAATAAATCTTAGCAAATTATGGAATAAGCTACATGCCATTGGAATAATCTCAAAGATCATCTGAACTGTAAAAGCCATATACGAGAAGACAAAAATCACTATAAATAGTAATCTTCAAAGCACCGAAGCTATAGACATGACTACAGGAGTTATGCAAGGCGACTGTCTCTCACCTCTACTGTTTGCGATATATATATCGGATATCATTTCTTACTGTCAGAAGAACCATTGTGATGGTGTCATATTAACACATATTAGATCACTGATCATGCTCCTTTATGCAGACGACGTGGTTATCTTCGCAAACAATGTGTTAGACGCCAACAGAAAATTGAACATCCTAAAAAACTATTGCGAGGAGAACAAGCTTACCATAAATATTAATAAAACCAAGGTTGTGGCCTAGGTTGTGGCTTTCCATAGAGGCAGGAAGAAAAAAAGTCTGGGAGTATTTGTGTTCAACAATTCTACTTTGGAAATTGTAGAAGAATACACTTACCTAGGTATAACTTTCTCATCATCCGGTGTTTTCAAGAAAGCTTGCGAAAGTTTCATTGAATAATCTTCCAGGGCAATAGCAAGGGTTAAAAGCACTTTAATGAAAGTAAAATCGGAATGCCTTGAAACAAAAACTAGGTTATTTAAAGCCATTGTGTCGTCAGTACTACTGTACGGTGCAGAGATATGGGCGCTGAGATATTTAGAGATGGTGGAGAGAGTTCAAGTGAAATATTATAAACAAATATTTCATTGGCCAAGCAACACCCCCAACTACATGGTTAGAATGGAAACCGGACAGATATATCTAAAAATACAAATTATTAAAAATACTCTTAACCTGTGGGAAAGAATCTTAAGACTACCCGAACATAGACTGTTAAAGCATTCTTACCATGGCTTACTTAATCTAGATAGAAGTTCTCATAACAATCCAACAATGAACTGGGTAACTCAAGTGAAGGAAATTCTATTAGAAATTGGAGAACACTCACTGGTAAATAATATACTTTGCGTCAGAGACATCACACTACAAAAAGCAAGAGACGACATACTAGAAAAGGTCACAAACCAAGAATTGAGTAGGGACGTGGAGTCGGCCATTAAATCAAAATATTCCCCCATCTACCGTAATATTAGCAGTTTAACTAATATGGAAGTGTATATGACGTTTAAGCTCCCAATAAATAAAGTGCGATTAGTCAGTCAACTAAGAATTTCAGGCCAAAAAGAACTTCGGTTTTATATAAATAGATGTTCGTATGTGATTAATACCGAGTGATTGTGTACCATGTGCAATTTGGATTTCTGAATCAAAATTAATTTAAAAATTTGTTGCTACTGGGGGTAAAATGGTTCCTCTTAGTTGAGGTAAAATGGTTCCGGAGTCCATTTTACCTCATTTTTTGTGGCAGTAAATTTATAATGGCCTAATTAAAAATTAAAAATTCTGAAATCCTACCTTTGGTAACTCCATTTGACATTTCGCCACCATCCGTGGCACCTCCCCAAACTAGAAGTTCAAGACCTTCTCAAGGGGCAACTGTCTTTACTTCGACGCCAAACTATGTTGCAGTAAAAGAAAAATCAAAACCATCTAAACCACCCTCCCAGGCAGCTAAAAAGGCTGTAACGAAAAACCTCTTTTCAAAAAAGAAAGCAAAAAAAACAAGTGTTCAGGAAGCTAACAATGCTTGCATTTTTTGTGAAGAATTGTTCAGTGAATCTCGGTCGAAAGAAATTTGGATCCAACGCATTCTATGCCGAAAATGGTGTCATTTACTGTGCGCATCTGTTACTGGGAAGCAGAAAGTGTACACTTGCGATTTTTGTAAGTAATAATCATTCAACGTTTGTGTTACAGTAGGGACCATTTTACCCCAAGTGTGAGGTAAAATGGTCCTTTTGCAAGTATTTTTAAAAATCATATTTTCTTTTTTGTTTTATTTTCTTCAAGGAAATTTTTTGTTTTGAAATATGTATTAATATAGCCTTTATGTTGTTTCAATGTTTTCAATTATCTTGTTTTTTTATCATTTTTGACCCACTTTTCTGTTAAGGGAACCATTTTGCCCCACTTTCCCCTATATGGAATTCTGATGTGTGTGTATAATTTATATGCATTGTGACGTTATTAATTTTTATTGAACAGTCTGTATGTGGGCCAGAAAACATCGGAGCTAATCCCATACTTGCTTATCACAAAATGCATGCACGCAGTGCGGTCACTTTTACGCGAACCTGAGTTGTACAAGCACGGTAAATTTTGAAGGTAATTGCATTACTGGCTTTTAGCAATTGTACATATACGAACAGACGAATAGCCGTAAATCTTTTTATTATTAAAAAGGGCAGTTTTGGTTCCCTACTGTATTTGGGAGGAAAAATTAATTAGCATTGGCATTCCTAAGCTGAGGAGGATTGGTTCAGATTAAGTTAATATCTGTTGGTGTACGGAGTGTCATTTAGACTCCGGTTACGGCAGATTATTAAAACCTGGTTGGAAAGTGGCCTACCCCATTGGCTTACCATCGTTACGGACAACGACGTTGAGATTCGCTCTGATCACCTGGCCGTCTCGTCCCGACCTTCTGCGACACGGCACCTAAGGGCTCCAAAACCACCTGGGAGTTCCTCCTTACTTACCGGGAACAGCACCATCTTGTCTTCCATCAGTACCTAGCGTGTAAGGGTGAGCGTTGCGAGTGTATTAGTGCTGGCGGTACACGACGATTTTCATGGGAATGGTGCATTTAATGATGCACCTTAAAAAATGATTTGACCCGTAGTTCCTGAAATTTCATCCCTTAGGATTGGAATTTGAGGGCGGGGGTTCAAGTTTCATGTGAAAAATGTTGAAAAATGTAAATTTATCCACCAAGGCCTGTTTGTAGTCACCGCCGCAAGATTCTAACATGTTGAATGAACGCAATGCAATGGTCAGAATTTCCGAACAGCCACCGGAAGTTATGATAGACCCCCATTTTTAAAAATGGCCGCCAAAAAGTGAAACTTAATGGAGAGCCCAAATGTTGGAGTGTTTGGTATTTCAAATGTTTTTGAGGTCTCTGAATACGTCTGTTACCACAAAAATACGAATAAACAAACCATATGGCCTTTTGGCCGCGAGATAGGGAAATATCGAATAGGCAATGGATGGCAAGTTTTATGAAAATAGGATGTGGCTAGGCACGTTTCAATTTTCGAATTAATGATAACATATTAAGGTATGTATTGATTTTAATGTAAATTAACTTCTATTTGTGGACATGTGCATGTCGGTGCTAATCATATCGACATATCCTCAATATCAAGGTCGGGGTCAGACGAAGAGATCGTTTCGTCCAAGCATGGTTCCACCAGCCTACACGGTGTTCCGTGCAGCCATAAGGAGGAAGCTGATGGCCGCATCATCCTGCATACCAAGGATATGGTGGTCTACGGCGCAGAACGTGTTGTGATCCGGAGCACTGACACCGATGTTCTGGTCCTGGCGGTTTCGTTCTTCTTCAAACTGAAAGAGAAAGGACTCAAAGAACTATATGTTCTCTTGGGATCTGGACTCCATCGTCGCTACATCAGTGTGCATGGCATTGCTCAGTGTCTCGGAGAGGGAGAGTCGCATTGAGAGGTTTCCATGCGTACACCGGATGCGATACGGTGTCTTTCTTTGGATCCAAAGGGAAACGTTCAGCGTGGGCTGTGTGGCAGGACTAAACGGCCACAGGTGCATTCGGCAGGCTAGCTTGGTCACTAGATGAAGGACCTGACGCTGAGATCATGCAAGCTTTGGAAAGATTTACTATATCTTTGTACGGTGTGCGGGATGGCACATGTACTAGTGTTGATCAGGCGCGGACCTTTTTGCTACACAGCATAACCAAGTAGGCACTATCCCTCCAACTCGTGGTGCCCTAGTGCAACACGTCAAACGGTCTGCGTACCACGCTGGCCACATCTGGGGCAGAGCTGCAGAATTGACACCCGAAAGTCCCCCAACAACAGATCTGGAGTTCTTGCAGAGAATTTGCTGCACAACGGGCTGCGAGACGCAGCGATGCTGTTGCCGCCGGTACCAACTGCCGTGTATCTTGGCGTGCAGAAAGTGCAAAGGGCAATGTTCTAACCAGACAGAAATTGACTCCAACCAAGATATTGAGGATATGTCCATATCATTAGCACCGACATGCACATGTCCACAAATAGAAGTTAATTTACATTAAAATCAATACATATCTACCTTAATATGTTATCATTAATTCGAAAATTGAAACTTGCCTAGCCACATCCTATTTTCATAAAACTTGCCATCCATTGCCTATTCGATATTTCCCCATATCGCAGCCAAAAGGCCATATGGTGTGTTTATTCGTATTTTTGTGGTAACAGACGTATTCAGAGACCTCAAAAACATTTGAAATGATACCCAACACTCCAACATTTGGGCTCTCCATTAAGTTTCACTTTTTGGCGGCCATTTTTAAAAATGGGGGTCTAACATGACTTCCGGTGGTTGTTCGGAAATTCTGACCATTGCATTGCGTTCATTCAACAGGTTAGAATCTTGCGGCGGTGACTACAAACAGGCCTTGGTGGATAAATTTACATGTTTCAACATTTTTCACATGAAACTTGAACCCCCGCTCTCAAATTCCAATCCTAAGGGATGAAATTTCAGGAACTCCATCGTTTCACTCCCAAACGGCGAGGCGCCCATATTGTAACCATTGTAGATATTTTGTTAATTGTTATACCCCCCCCCCGTCCACTGAGAATTAGCCGGCGCCAAAGTGCTCGTTATAGCATATATACTGGGTAGAGCAACCAAGGTAAATTTTTATACACTAGCAAATTATTTACTAGCGTGGGATCTGCCAAAGGAGAATTCGAAGGTAAAGTACCATAATAACGAGAATTGTTGATTGCATTAGTGTGGGGAATTAGTTGTTTCCGTTTATGTACATTAATAGTCATATGGTATCACAGGCATTCCGCTCAAATTACTGAGCTCCTTTCTAACGGGGAGGTCTCAGTTTGTTGAACTCTCCGGTCAATTTGGCAACGTAACGAATCATAAATTCAAATCGTCTGAACTGGACTACAAAATTGGAACGCCCCAGGGATGCACCTTAGCTCCACAACTCTTCGCGATTTTTGTCAACGACCTGGATAGGAAGTTTAACGACCCGAGCATTTCTCTTTGCAAGTATGCAGACGACACCTCCTTAGTGATATCGGATCCTAATTTAGACACCCTAGCACAAAAGGCCTGTGATGCTATAACATGCATAAGAGAGTGGTGCGATTCTAACCAGCTAAAATTAAACGAAACCAAAACTGGCGTAGTAAGCTTCTGCAATAGCCGAAATAACCAAGCGAGACGTCCTAACATTATCATTAATGGGAAACTGTTGCGCATTACCAGTGGTGAACGCTTCCTTGGAGTAACTGTAAGTGACAATCTAAATTGGAGCTCTCACATCGATCAAATCTGCTCGAAACTAAGAAGTGCATGCTATGCAATTATATGTTTGAGGCCCGTGGTAGGGCAGTCTGCTCTACTGAAGTACTACTATGCCCAGGTCCAAAGTCAACTACACTACGCCATTATTATATGGGGCAACTCCAATGCAACTGTCAGACTGCTGTTACTGCAAAAACGGATCGTACGTCATATGTGTAACTCTGGCATGCGTGACCACTGCAAACCTCTTTTTAAACGCTTGCAAATAATGACTGTGTACTCCCTATATATCTATAACTGTGTGCAATTCGTTTTCGACAACTCATATCAGTTTACAACGAAGGAAGAGATCCGCAGCTGTGACAGGAAGACTCGTTTCGGTTCTAAGCTGACCGTCCCTCGACATAATACCACCCTGTTCGAGAACTCTCCAAAATACATGTGCATTAAACTTTTCAACAGCCTCCCTATTGATCTCCTGAAATGCATTCAGGCCTCCTTTATGTCTAAGGTTAAAATGTTCTTTCTAGATAATCCGTTCTATAGTGTCAACGAATACCTCTGCAAAACCTAATTATGCCTTTCTGTGTGTTATATGTAAATGCGTGTTACTGTTAGTCTGGTTGTAGTCAATTCTGTAGTTTGTATGTATTTTTCAAGTCGCGTAAAATTTAAAATGACGTTTCCAATATTATCTATACACTGTAATCAAAATGGAAAAAATAAATATGAAATAGTTATGGCAACGCTGTAAAAATAACAAGAATTAAATGCATCTTTTGTGCGTATGGGTCCTTGTTTACTACGACATATAAAAGTTACTAATTACTTAAACTTGTAAAAGAGTAGGTATTTTACATTTTACATTACTTTTCAATATACGATATAGATAAGCGCTCCTCGTCCGTTACTTGTAGAAACGATAAACAAATTTCCCATAACTCTTTGGCGATCTTTTGATTATTGACAATACTCGGCACCCAAGTCTCAACCGAGTTCATGAAAACTTTACCTGTTACATCGGCAAGATTTTTCGAAATTGCCACGTATATGGAACCCTGAGCTCCTTCTTTACTACTCTAAAAAGGCAGGTATTAAATTATTCTAAATGAAAACCACGAAACTTACTCTCAATAGTAGTTTAACGCATACGAACATAATTTTCCCTATGATATTCCATTCCCGCGCAATTCCAGTGTAAACTAAGCCTGGATCGACCGTGTTAACGGTAACTCCGCTACTTTTAAGCCTCCTCGCCAATTCATTTGTAAGTATCACGCTACACAATTTAGAGTTGGCATAATTGAACACGGCCACTCTTGCAAAGATGGATGGAGAATAATAATTTAAATCGTTGAGATTCAGTGTTGCGTAGTAAATGGTTGCAGATCCAACGTTTACAATTCTGCTAGAATTTGTCCTCTTTAACAAATCTGAAAATAGCAACATTAGAATAACTTGTTGCAGACAAGACGCATTTCTCTATATTTACAGTTGACATGAACTCCCAGGATCATAAATATTATTAATCTATGTACAGCACAGGTGAATAATCAGCAAATAAAAGGGATACATTCCCATATTAGTTACGGTATATGTTGTTGGGGAGCGGCTGCCCATAGTATCCTTTCTCCTATAGAAAAACTACAAAAAATGGCGATACGATCAATATGTCAAAAAAGTAGAATGACACCATCTCTTCCACTTTTTATACACCAGAAAATTATGCCATTAAAGTACTTGTATTTGTTTAAGGTTCTTCGGCAATTTTTTAATATTAGCAACTGTCATGGACCACAAAGAATAAATCAGCTAGTAACAACCAGAAGCATGACCAAGCAATATAAAAAATTGCCAAAAATAAATAAACCCCTATTTCAATGATCACCGTTATATCTTGAACCAAAATTATATAATGTTTTACCGAGTAATTTTGAAAATGTAAGATTAACAAAAAATCTATTAAAAAATATTCAAAAATGGATGATGACTCAAACGACACTTCTGGACAGTATATTAATTATTCTTGCATAACTAAGTCACGTTTGCTGAAAATAGAACAAAAAAAATGATGAAAAAAAAAACTAAAGCTACACTTTAACTCAGGGCTGTATGCTTAGTGCATAGAGAATCCCTTTCCCTATTAAATTTCTTTTTGATGTTAAAAAATTCACTTTCTTTCTTCTCTTTTTTCCTCTTGTTTTTTCCTGTAGATATCTTAAAAAGAATGTTTTGTTTGTTTTACTCTCATGTAGTGAATGCTCATGTATATCATTTTGTATGGGAATAAAGTCAATTATTATTATTATTATTATTAAAATGAGATTTTATCGCCTTATGAAACTTATCCAGAAGACACGGACCGAACTGAACGAGGAACGTACCAACAAATGGAATTTGAAAAAGACGGGAATTTCCCAGCTCTGGGACAACAACCAAGACTCAGAAGCAGTAAGTTACCTAATATTTTATTAGAGGCTCATTACGAAACTGCAAAAGACACAGTTCACCAAATCATAATAGTGGTCGGCGACAAAGGATCACGAGAGGAAAATCGCTGTTTCGATACTTTAGTACATCTACCAATCAAAAAAGAAGCCAGAAGAGGGTTGGATGGATTCAGGGCAAGCAAAGGTCGCCAGGGAAGAAGGAGTGTTGTGTCAAAGCGCCGTGTCCATCACGGACGAAGCCGCGCTGACAACATTCTGGTAAATTGAAGAGGTCCGAGCTCAAGATGCAGCCCTATCGCAGGAAGATGACCTGCCGCTGAAAGGGAAAGTTGAGAAATTGGAAAAAGCAACCGCTCGCCTTCTACAGACGGAATTCAGGTTCAAGGCATCTGAAAAAGACTACACAGATATGCGGTTTTCACTGATATTTTCGTTTTCGTTTCATTTGAAATTTACAAGAAAACATGCAAAGTTTATGTTAACCTTCCGGTAGTGTCGCGACATTTTGCAACATATTTGGTGTCGGCGGTGTGAGACCGCGGTATCAAAAGAAGCTTTTTTTAAATGTAGATTAATCGGCAATTATAGAATTATAGAATTTATTTCCAGTATACCGGTGTCCATTTTTCGAGTGCCACTATGGGGATCTCACTTATCTTAAGAGATAGAAAGTTGGTTAAGGGGGCAAAGTTGCCAATTTTCGTGATGAATAAGAATCTGAAAAGAAATTTGAAATATCTTCAATAGTTTTGAAGATATCGCAAAAAACGCAAATTTCTGATTTTCGTTTTTAATTTTTTTATGATAAACTAATCGTAGTAGACATTTCTAATTAACACATTATTCGGACACTTTATAATGGCGATTTCAAATATGGCATCCTGTTTTTAATTACTTTCAAGATGACGGAGAAACACGTGGCAACTTTAGTTTTTCTTATGGGCGCCATATTGAATTTTGACATTTTTAGATTACGTCTTTTTTTCTCTTTACAACGATATATCACACATGGTGGTTCAGTATCACATTTTTCCTAAAAATACAATTTTTAATTCTTTGAGAAGAGTGCTTTGGAAAAACAAAACGTTCGTTCTTTTGTTGTGAACAAAAGGTGTTTCAACGTGTTCAACGTGTTTATAATAATCAAAACGAAGAAAAAACGATTCACGTAAACGAAGACGTCATTAGTAACGGCGGTCTTTCACACCTCAATATGCGCGCTCTGTAAGTATAATACCAAAAACAGACCCAAAGATTATAAGTACAACCAAAGAGTACCCTACTCTTTGGTACAACATCCATGTGTGCTAGTAGCTTCAAAGGGTTCTAAAGAAGGCAAACCTAGCCCGGTTGGTAATAACTCGGCCAATCTTCGGATTCATACACGATTGACGTTTTCTGCGGTCTCAGAGACCGGGCGACACTAACGGAAAGTTAATGACAAACAGCGTCCTCTACCACTCATTACATTTACTATTCATGTAAAACTTGATTACATGAAGAGAGAAAAAGGTGTCACCTGCATATTACAAATTAACTCAATATGAGCGGAATCAGAAGCAGTAAGTGTATTAAAAAATATTTGAGAGTTTTGGAACCTACGATTCTCTTAACTCACCTGGTATATTTGGTACTATCAAAAGCTTTGTGTTGACCGTTTTCAAAGCATGTGAGGATATTATATTATAAACATACTAGAAAACGCAACCTACAAAGTTTTTGGATTATGTGAGCATAGGAATATAGTTAATTTACCTATATTAACCTACAAAAAAAGATTCAACTTACCTATCAAAAGAAGAGTAAGAAGAAACGGCCCTAAGCTATTGACTTGCAAATTTTTACTGAGGCCATCAACCGTCCTTCCACCTTCCATTATAGCGCCGGCGTTATTAACTAAAATGTCTAACCGGTCCTCGGAATTATTTATTTCTGCAGCAAACGCCCGAACAGATTTGAACGAGGCGAGATCCACTATCCTTACAAATACGTTGGGATTTTGCGTGTCCTCCATAATTTTCTTCCTGGCTTTCTCCGCTAGGGAGATACTTCTGCAAGCCAAAATCACCTTTGCGCCTCGTATTGCGAACTCGAATGCCGTCGAAAATCCGATCCCTAAATTATTCCACTTAGCTACCAATTTGTTGAAGCAATGACTGAACTCACCACTATTGGCGCCTGTAACTATCACCGTTTTTCCGGCTAAACAAACTGGGCTTTTATTCCATTTCGTCCTCAATCTTGCGATTATTAAAACTACACCTAACAAAATCGGCAAAATCGGAGCGAACGCTAGCAATAGATATAACGCTGTCATTTTCAAGCGTAAGGTGATAAGCAAATCTGCTCGATTGGACCAATGGTCCCCCATATATTTCAACAAATCTTACATAATCTTACATAAATATAAGTGACGATCAATGTTTACGTAATTAAATGGCAAGTTATATACAGGGTAAAATGGCAAGGCATACGGATGGTCGTTAATGTGCTGTATTTGCGTAAGCAAACCTGAAACACCTAGAAACGTCAAAATAAAAGAGTGAGATTTTGAAGAAATGTATACATTTTGAAGACGTTGATGTTCCAAAACCCGCGATAAATACTTCGTGGCCATTCTGTATACGTAGAAAAAGTGCTATTTGTATACTATTGGGTGTGATTTACAAGTGCAATAGTAAACAATGTCATAAACTTTTACAACATTCGAACCGAACACTCTCCAATTTTAAAATTTACTTTACAATGCTCAATAATAGTTACTTATGTAAGAAAAGGATATCGATTCCTTTCCAGTTTTGGCAGCTATATTTATGATGAACTCAATAAATGCTTATAACAGCCGCATATATGTATATTAGAGGGAGCGTTCCGCAAAGACAAAAGCAGAAGTTAAAGTACGTATCATTTTTAGCGCATTTTTGCAAATTTATTTGTAAAAAGTAGCTTTTAATCTCACTTTGGCTGGCTGGCTGGCTGGCTGGTCGGCTGGCTGGCAGCAAATGTGGGCGCGTAGAGGAACTCTTGTAGAAAGGCAACGGGTTTACGTGTATCTACAAGGCCGTGTAATTTGTAAACCTTGGGAACAGGGCTACATGATGTGGGGTTGGCGACATCTGGGCGTCGTCCTCGAGCGTAGTATACTAAAGTGAAGGTTTTTCAGTTTTTTCCTATCTTCTACTACAGTTTTGGTCCGATTCTTTTCAAATTGGTGTCGTCGGAAAGATGTAAACGCGCACAACTCCTGAGTGGCGGAATTTTGTTTTTTGGCCTAGGGGCGAAATTAACGACCTTTTGCAAGGCGCGCGCGCGTCTGCGAGAGGTAGTCAACTTCGGGCACCTTTTACCTTCCGTTGCGAATTCTGTCACGCGTTTTAACGTTTCGTAAATCTCGAATGGCTGTCTCTCTTTCTCGTGTCGCCAATAGAAGCTCGAGCAATGAGAAGTGCCCCCCAAAAATTAAGTACTATCTTGTGGAAGGTTTTTAGCGAGATCCACCAAAATGTGGGTGTAATATAAGTATGCACCGAAAAAGGAAATGTGGTAGCCTCCGACAAGATCTAACTGATGGTGGAGAAAAATCTTCAAACGCGAATTGCGGGTGAACGGGACGTCGGAAGTGGGTACCGTCAAAGGGAATGCGGTATCCTTCGACAAGATCTTTTATTCATGGTTGAGTCAAAAGTGGCTAATAGAATACTGATCTGCCACACAAAAATGCCTTGAAGTCCAGTCCCTTCGATCTCACACGAGGACTTTGATAATTTTTTAAGTAATCAAACGCTTCCAATAGAGTTTGCACAAGAAAAATTCCATTTGCTACTTAAGTCTCGAGGACAAGTACCCAAATAAGCACATGTAGGAAGTGAAACAGAATACCTGGATTGCACATGTTCTAAGATACGAAGGTTTGGTAAAGTCATTACTGGAAGGTGCCGTGGAAGGTACAAATTTCCGACCCAGGTTGGAATACATCGACTACATAATGGAAAACATGGGCTCTACCTCCTACTTGGCACTGAAAAGGTTGGCTGAAAATCGGAAAGGATGGAAATCTGTCATAGACCAGTATTTTAATCCGGTAATAAGACATTTGATTGACTTTATATTGCATTAGCCAGCCAATCAAATGTCAAAATTCTTGTTTAAACTCAGATTTGGCAAATAATCTAGGATATTGATTATAATTCGCTTTCCTGCAACCGGCCGTAAGTGTTAGGATGGGGTGGGTCTCTTTAGTGGCTTTAGAGAATTTCTTTTAAAATGATATTTTCAAAACGAGTCAAGTGTTTATTTTTCTGTAAAGTCTAAGGTCTTGAGCCGTCGTAAAGATCACGTCAAAATAACAGTGATTTTTTAAACTCGCGTCGTAGCTTCTGTGAGGTCAAGTCCGAAGACCCGTAGCTAAAAATTATCACTATTCGTTAGCCGAAATTGGAATACCGATAAATAATCGAATTTGGAACATTAAAAGTAGGGCAAATAAAAAAAAAAGGTACTAGGGGACTTTTCCCGCGCACACAGAGATTAAGTTTGGACTGGCAGGTACAATCATTTTACAAATAGTTCTACTTCGAAAACGGAAGCTCCAGAAATCAAATCAAATCATACGATTTCGCAAAAAAAGTCCTACTTTGCGACGAATTAATTAACTTTTGTTTAAACCCCCGTGACTGCTAATGTGACCTCCCAGACCTCTTATCGCCATTTTTTTACACGTATAGTTTCTCTCGAAGTATTTGATGGCACTAAGTAACTTGTTTAACGGAATGTTCTCGGACCGTAATGATTTAGTTTTAGGATTTTCGCGAAATACTTTCACAAATCGCGGGCAGCAATAAAAACGTAGTTTCCCGCTGATTACTTAACTCTTAATACTCGAACACTATTATTTCTGATGACGCACTTGACGCTCTGGTGGTCGAAAACCAAATGCACTACAGGGTTCCTACTCTTTTTTAATTTTACAAATCGGCCTACAAAATGTTTCTAATAGGTTACATCGACCATCTTCAAACATTAGCCAATAGGATGTCTACCAAAACTAAACACACGCGCACAAAGACCATTAATCAAAACCCACGGCCGTTTATAACCTGCCAAACTTGCTCCTTGACGTCACTATGGGTAATTCTGATGTAGCTGTTTTGGTCACGTAAAAGACATTGAGATTGTGTTGGCGTCCGTCAGACTGGCGCTGATAACTTTTCCCATGCCATTAACCAGTCACGGCGCTTTTGGAAACCCCAAACCCACAAATAACTATTACGTATGAGACAAGCAGTGAAAAATGTTTTCCATAATTGTCAGCACTGTAGCAATAGGCGAGCCAATCCCATGATACCTATTATGGGACAATTACCATTATGCAGAATAGGGCCAACAATCAGACCATTCATAAAATGTGGGGTGGATTATTTTGGACCTTTTGAAGTTGCAGTGAAGAGAAGCAGAGAGAAAAGGTATGGAGTTATTTTCACTTGTTTAGTAACCAGGGCAGTTTTCTTAGAAATTGCTGATGACCTCACGACTAATGCTTTTATAAATGTACTCCGGCAATTTGGTTGTAGACGTGGGTTTCCTCATGAAATCCACAGTGACAATGGATTGAACTTTAGAGGGTCTGAAAGGGAAATTTCACATCTTGACAATTTACAACAAAATGAAACAATAGAATTAAATGGTATTTTAATCCTCCACATGCACCACATATGGGCGGCATATGGGAGCGACAAATTCAAAGCATAAAGAAGATCTTAAAGGAAATTCTAAATACTAGGTATCCTCAAGAACATATACTCAGAACCTTCCTCATAGAGTGCGAAAATATATTGAATTCCAGACCTCTGACGCACGTTTCTTCAGATTCTCATGACTCTGAACCTCTGACACCAAATCACTTCTTGATCGGACCAGACTTTGTAGCACCTTGAACTGTGACTACTGACAATCGAGATTTTAACCTTATATTTACCTACAATTATTAAACGTTCCAAATGGTATCAAGATCAGAAGAATATCAAAGTTGATGATTGTTATAATTGTTGATCCAAATGGAACAAGAAATGATTGGCGAAAAGCAAGAGTAGTCAAAACGTATCCTGCCAGAGATGGTAGAATTCGTATAGTTGACGTCAAGGATGGGAATGGAAAGGTATACCGAAGAGCACTGTCCAAACTCATTGTACTTGATCTGCAGTAGTAATTGCTGGAAGAGAGGCAATTACTAGGGTGGAGAAATGTTGTATTTATACACCTTCATCTTTTGGGAAAGAAAACGTACTCACCTAGTTTTCTTTCGAGATGAGGTATTTGCGTTTACAACCTGGTGCCTAACATTTTTGTGGCATGCTAAAAAAGTATTCTTGATAGCTAACAATGGTACATATATTTTATTCATTTACGAAAATTGAGAATAAGATTTTTATTTAACTTTAAAATTCGGAACCGCTGCTAATTGGCAACTGCATCATAAGATCTCCAAATCGGTGAACTTTGTCAAAAGGACTCGAGGTGAAGCTCCTGGGGGATGTCAACACTGCTTAAGCGTTGAATAGCAGGTTGCTACTCCGGTGGATCGAGGTACGAAGCTATTGAAAGGCGCAAAGCGGAGTGCCGAAGACAAAGTGCAGTACTATGAGCTCGTGGGAATAAGCCAAAAGGTTCCTTCAAAAAATCGAATTGACATGTTTGTGCTAGAATACCTGAAATACAAACTAATAAAATAATAATTGTATTCTTTCACGATAAACACTTCTCTGCTTCTACCCAGCACCAAAGAATACTTAATAATTACTACTCTTTGCCAGCACCTTCGCTTTCTACGTTTTTTTTTTTATTTTTCATTAGAAGGTTACCACTGCTCGTCACTACAAATGCTGCTGTTGCTTCAGTTTCGCGGTTCGCTCTGGGTTTCGCTATCAATTTCAATGGGGACTAACTTGTATTTGGGGTTTTCGGCGAAACCGAGCGACCACCTAGTGTGTACGCCATATTTGAGCGTGTACATGGTCTTGAGCAAATACAAGTACTTCTAAAGTGTCCAGTAATGAGTAGCCTGCTATAGAGGTTATGACCCGCACGAGATATTGTGATAATTGTGTCAATTCTATAATGCCAAATAGTTAGCGCTTCAAATTATGCCTATTATATTGAAAACATTATATAACTACATTATCATAATTGCCAAAGTCAAAGTCGATAAATCAATTATTGAACAGCGTAAACTTCATTCTGCGAGAGATTTTTAGCGCATTTCCACAAAAATAAAAAAAAATCCCCTATTGTTCCTTGGGACGCTACTACTTTATCCTAAGAGATATTGTTCTACTTTTTTCGCTATTTGGTTCGTTATGGTGTCGAGACTTCCACCATGGATCTGCATTTATTGCTAAAAAAGTTATTGTAAAAAAACCAAAAAAACATTTTTTACATGTTCCATAATTTTACACTTTTGCCGTTTATTAACGATCCTAGAGATCGTTTATAATTTTGTATTGCTGTCTGTCGTGTCTGTTGGTCTGTCCGTCTGTTCCTTTGTCTGTCTGTCGATAACTTTGTTTAGAAATGTCCGATCGCTTTTACATCTCCGTTAGTATGAACTGAATTGCATGAAATTCAATATGGGCATAGCTTTAGCCATATAATACGCAATGCCAAATGTTGAGTCGAATCGATTCAAAATTCACAGTGCCCTTTTCGCATCTCGACCATTTATAAACGGAATTGCAAACTTTTTTATTTATAAAAGTATTTAAATGAAATTTGATACATAGGCACTTGGAATAAAGGAAAATCTAACACCAGTTTCAAAATTTTATTTTGCGCATGCGCAGTGCCAACTTTTTTTATCTATGGAAATATTTAAATGAAATTTGATACATAGACGCTTGTAACAAAGGAAAATCTAACGCCAGTTTCAAAATTTAGATTTGCGCATGCCCATTTCCAACTTTCTTATTTAGAAAAGCATTGAAATGAAATTCTTCTTATAAACTGAAATTGCAGTAGCACGTCAAAAATGGATTGCACATTTGCAACGCTATCTTTTATATTTGTGGCCGAATTTTTACGATTTTAACAAAAGTTGCATCCTACAAATGGGAAATGAATGCAAGTGGAAATGCGCTTTTTGTAAATAGTTTACGATTACTTTTTAACTTGTTGATAATTACCAACGAGCTCCTGTTACATCATTCTTTGCTCGTGCGGCAAGAAATAAATAAATCATTCTATCAGTCTGTTTTGACCATTTAAAAATATTTAGGTAACTATACAATATGCGTTAATTATATTGAGTGACTTTTCCTAATGCGACTTTAATTGCAGCGTAGTGAATGCGTTAATTTTTAGCCTTCGGGCAATTAAAAATGATTGTCCCCTATCTTGCACTAATCGTTTCTTCTCAACCTCAATCACCCATGTCTAATAATTAAAAGGATAATGATGTGTATGTACTTTTGTGCGAATTTCGCCGAAATAAGGTTGTCATAAAATGTGTTTTAAAAACTCATTTCTCCGTTTTATTAATCATTCGATTAGGATAGATGGAATGAGCTGGAAAACTTATCGGCACTTATAATATCTTGCGAAATCGTACATAAATGCAGATAGTTCTCAGAGGGTAGATATTAATGATTGATATCAATTTTATGTATTGAGTTTCAGAATGTTTTAGATGAAAATCTGATCACTCACCTGTCTAAGAATTTCAAAGCTTTTATATAGGTTCTGAACTCCAAATTATGAATTTTTGACAATCTTACCTATATAGTTTCAGAATGGTCAAAATCAAAATATCTAAGTCTGACAGTAGGTAATAGAGAGTTCTAGAATGTGATATGGCGATATGACAAACTGAAAAATTCCCTTTTTTTTTTAGTTTTACTCAAGGATAACGCGACTGTACTTGTAAGGCTCGATGCACACTTGCGTATTTTAAAGCCGCGTGCGCTTAGCTTGTTTCTGTCATTACACATTGGAGCGGTTTTGAACCGCCGAACGCTGCTAATATATAAAGACGCATTCCCTAAGTTCTTCCAAGCAAAAAGGATGACAACGCGTTACGTTTGCTTTCTCAGTGTATGAATATTTATATGACATTAAAGAACAGCATGGGTTCACCCCATGGTTAATGCTCGTTCGTTTCCCTGTTTCAAGATCTTCTCAGAGATGAAACGAAATTCTTGTCTTTATTCTATCATGGTACAGTACTGATCTTGTGTCTCATTCTGTCGGTTGGTTCTTAATAGCATCAGGTAATAACTCTGTGTCGACGGTGACTTCTATCGTGCGACCAGAGTGTACTCGTTGATCGCCTAGCACAGCCACAGACTGCCCGGCGTGTTGTGGAAGCCGCGTGTATGCGGCGGCGTAGCAGAAACTGGCGTCCTCTAAAAACAAGTCCGGTGCACGCTACTTGCAAGCAGCTTGCTCGCCGCGGTTCTGCTCGAGTGTGTACTGCGCAATTAGAGCCCATGTACTGCTAAACCGCCGGCGTTCGCCCGCGACTTGCACGCGGCTTGAAAACACGCAAATGTGCATCGAGCCTAAGTTGTATCTGTAGAATATTATGATTTATAAGACCTGTAGAATGTAGATATACTTACATTTTTTTTTTGCTTTTAAATTGTATAATTATGTATATGGTTTTCAATGACGTTTTCTCTCCCCAACGCGTGCCAAATTCCGTAGTTCGCACATATTATATTTATAGATCTAATGCCACCGCTTCCCGACTTAATCATTTGATTACATTTTAATGATGAATTTCTTAAGTTGATTGTACGTTTTCATGTCAGATGAGCTGTGCATTGCTCTTGTAAAGTTCATGTAACTTTTTTTTCGGTCTTTAAGTATATGATATACGTTCACCTGCAGGTATATCTGGTTGGCACATATTTTGAATTATTTGAACAAGTAACTTTAATTCGTTCATTTTTGTTAGGAATTTGTAAATCTAGTGCTTCTACGAATCAGGAATGGAGCGTGATACGAGAGTGCACTTTTTGGAATAAACGTGCAATATTTTATTTCCACGTGTAGGTAATAAATACGTATGTATATGCATCAATATGGATAATTTCCTTTGAATATCATATTTACTTAGCAATCATGTGAAAAGTGCAGATTAACTATTCAACATGGTAACTATATTATTTATTGCACAACCACCCCTTCCGTTTAAACTATATTTCTCGCATTCTTTCTGGTGTTGTTTAGATGGAACAAAGTCATGTTAGCCAAAGAATATTGAATTGCCAATTTCCATTACAGATAATTATTTTTGATAATTAATTAAAAGTACATCACACGAGACTGATTTCACTATGTGAAGAAACTTCTCTGATTATTTCTGCTAATTTTGCAAAATAATGCATTATTACTTGACATCTGATGTTCTCACGTGAGGCTTCAATGTTGCGAACTCAAATAATAGATAAAACTTAAAAGATAAAATACGTGCTCAAAAGTCAAAACCACTCCAATTTGTTTGATGTTTTAGACGATTCATTTTTACTGAGGCCAAAGCGATGTACCACATTTTCGCGTACATTTACTTATTGGCAACACTCAGCGAAGGTAAGATTGGGTGAATCTTCAAACGTTTACCGTTTAATTTACAGTTCCTCCACGTGTTTACTGCGATATCGAAATTTCGACCAAAGAACTTATTTTTCCGCTGGGCACCCAAGAGACTGTCAATATTAAAGTGAGGTATGTATCGAATTTTACTCATGCAGAAGAGATGGCTGCATTTTTAGCAATGTCAACAAATCTGGCGTAATCTTGTACTTTACGGTTCATAACGAGGAAGTGGTTCAAGTTCTTCCTTCGGTCATACCTTTGCATGGCTACGATGACGACTACAATTTCACAGTGTACGCGTCGAGAGCTGGACATTCGGAAATTAGTGCCAATTCGTCAGATCCCGACGTAAGGTAGGCACAATAAATATTTCGCTTGTATCTAATCTAATCACTTGTAATGGTGATTGTCTCAAATTGAAATAAAAAAGTCATTCAGTTGGTGTAGGGCCTGAGTGATAAGTATAAGGCAGGGCTCGCGTTCCGGTTCGTGAAAATTTCTATTCCGAGCATTGATTTAAGATATCCGTAGGAGCAAAATTTTTCATTCAATTGTATTCCAATACAAAGCCTTTTAATTCGATTAATCGTTTTAATCTTTGTGTTTGTGTAATAAAGTCTAGTCCATTTAGAGTCTAGACATTTTATTTATTCTATAGCAGCGCTTCTAGTGTTCGAATTTGGTGTCTTTTACGCCTTCCTAAACCGTGCATCTGATTCCAATGACACTTTTGGGAATGGCTGTCCGCGAAGGTTTCTGATTTAGTAAAACACTTCCCGAAATTCCCACGGGAACGCGAACGGAGAAAATTGGGATTGGGCATTTAGATCGTAGGTTTCTTTGGAGGCGCAAGTATATATCCGAATAGCATATCGGGTAAATAGCCTCCTCCTCTTCTGCTGGCACATATGAACTCTTCATGAAATTTGCCATAACCGTTTGATATTGCTGTGACCTTTCAATTTCTGGGCACACACAAAACACCTTAAACCGAACTAGCTCTTTAATGAAATTTCTCTCAGTACACATCCGCACCCCGGCACATCAAAAATAATTCAATTCTGACTTTAAATTTCTAATTCCAAGCAAACAATGGTCAAGATCCAACTCCTTAAACCTCTCAAAGGTCACTTACCAAATTTTTAAATAAATATGGGTAGTTCCACTCCATCTTGTAGGTATTTAAACTAAAACCGCTGCAAACGCACTATCCAAAGCATCCGTCTGAGTGACACAATCTAATTCCCTTAACTAATTCTTTCATTAATTTGACAAAAGCCTCATTTCTTTCTTTAGTTTATCTAAATTTCTCACCTCGTAATAATGAAATAAATAAACAAAGCAGATACGCAAAATCGTTTTGTGTTTATTCGTAAATAATCCCACGAAATTGATTAACAAAAGGTGTAATGAGCATTTAATAACTAAAACACCCGCATATCATCCCAAATGTCTGGACCTACACCTCAACGTCCCAAACCGACATTGTTTACACACCAATATAAACGTGGTTTAATTCCATTGCATGGCATCGCTCCCAAAATTCCTTTTGGTGTGAGGCGATCCAATCACAGACCTAGTCCTGCGTCAGACATGAAACGGAGACCTCTCAAGTGCTTCTTGATCCAAAAACGGAAATCACACGGCGACATATAAAGGTAAGCGTTCACTGAAACGGAACGCTTGTATTCCAAGTGCCTAAGTATTAAATTTCATTTAAATGTTTCCGTAAATAGGGAAGTTGCCATTGCGTATGCGCAAAACCAAATTTTGCAGCTGGTGGTAGATTTTTCTTTATTCCAAATGCTTTTGTATAAAATTTCATTTAAATGCTTTCATAAATAAGAAAGTTGGCATTGCGCATGCGCAAAACAAAATTTTGAAAACGTCTTATATTCGTAGTGTTTACATATAAAGTTCCATTTAAATACTTTCATAAATGAAAAAGTTAGCATTGCAGATACGTTAAACCAAATTTTTGACACTGCGCATGTGAAAAACCAAAAAAATATCGATATGCACAGAATCCTTGGACCAAGCCCTTTCAAATGAGCCCCATATCTCCCAAATCGCTTCAGTGGCGTAGAAAGAGTACGTGTGACGGACGGACGGACGGACGGATGGACGACAAAGTGCAGCAAATAGAGATTTTGCATTTTCTGGAAAATACGCTAATAAATCAAGAAATTCGTTATCAACTTTTTAGAAAATAGGTCAGTCAAAACTAGAAAATATCGTTTCCGACGAATTTAAATTGTGACTGAACGGAGACTGAACGGAGAATGATGATAAAATCGATGACGGCGCCGGACGTGTCGGTTACCGTTACCAATGTTTATTGAATAAGACTGAAATGGAACGGAACCGGAACTGAGACGTGACTGATATGTGTGAATAGACCTTTAAACGTCACGTTTAAACGCTACTGGCTTGCAAAACTAACACCTGACCTGTACAACTTTTACAAGATAGTAATATACAGTGTGGTGTTTTTAAGTGAACCATTAGAAGTATCTTAGGGACGATTTGGAATGTCGATTCGGGACCCATTACCTTTTTTAAATAATCGATCAAAAGGAATCGCTTAAAAACATTTTCAAGATGGCCGCTTCTCCGGTTGTATCAACAATACCGGAACTTTTTTATTTCAAATGGCACTCAGTCTCAGTATAACTGTCAATATAATGCTACGTCTAACCGGCATGGTTTCGAAGTTATTTCACAATTTTGACATTTTTCACGGTTTCAGAGGTTCACGAAGTTAGGCATATCGCTCTGTTATCTGACAACTTGGCAAAATGGTTTTTTTTCACGAATGGACTGCTAAAAGTTCACGCTATCAGATGTTATTGGTCCGATGTTCAAATGTCATTCGAAAATAGCACGCATTCAAAGTTTTTGGTCAACTCGAGATTTTTAAATGGAAACCATACATTTACTATGCATCAATGAAAACAGCATAAAAAACGAACAAAAATGTACTTGAAAAATTTTTCAAAAAAAAACTCTCCACAATAAGGTGGTTTTCGTCGGCAAGGATATCAATCGACGCAACTGTCCGTAATTCCCCACAATCGAAAGATATTGGGCAATTAGGTATCAAGCGGAAGTTAAAGAAAACTGGAAAACCGGCTCAGGGCCCTACACAGATAACTCGATGTTGGTAAAGAATGGCCTCTGATGCTTTCCAGTCCCGTGTGAGGAAATTTGAAGTCCGCTAGATCATCCGAACGTCGTCGGCGTCATTTTGCAATTCTTTTAATGCAAAGTACAGTAGACTACCTTCATCTTGACTAAATTCATTTTCAAATCAAGAAACATCTGGTTATAAATGTCCCCGAATTCTAAGTGGACCTTTATTTTGTACAATAATTTTTCGAGCAGATTTTGATCTGAATCAATGATAATGGATAAGTAATCCACAAACTTAATTTGTTTCAGTGTGAAGCATCTGTACTTGGTCGCCAATGTGCACAAAGAAAAATATATCGACATCGCCTCGCAGATTTCGGGTTGGATCTATTTCGTCACGTGGGCTTTATCGTACTACCCTCAAATTTATACGAACTTCAAAAGAAAAAGGTAGCAGATATCGATAATATTATACTAAACACTCGAAAACCTTTCTTTTAGTGTAATAGGCTTCAGCTTTGATTACTTGGCGTTAAACGTGGTAGGATACTTGTCCTTTGGTGTATTTATACAGAGCGTCTTTTTCGCCCCTGCTATTCAGGTAATCTTTTTGTAACACTTTCTTTATAATACCTACTACGCTAGGAAGAATATTTTGAGCAACACAGCCATGGACTACTACCTGTGAAAGTAAACGACGTCTTTTACAATCTGCACGGAATCCTTGCACTGTTAGTAACGGGATTGCAATGTTTGATTTATGAAAGGGGAAGCCAAACTATATCCTTGATAACACGCTTGATGTTGGGCGGATTTGGCATCTTCTACGTGGTGCTATTCATACTGCGCGCCGTATGCGTGATACAATGGTTGGATTTCTTGTATTTTTCTTCATATGTCAAACTGGTTATAACGGTACTGAAGTATATACCTCAGGCAAGTTTTACGTGGTAAGCGTCAATAAAGTGATGGAGCGTGTTGCAGGCTTACTTGAATTGGAAACGGAAAAGTACAAGTGGATGGAGTATCGGGGTGGTAAACCTAAATCTGGCAGGCGGCGTATGCAGCATTGGTCAAATGGCATTAGATGCATATAATTATGGTAGGTACGCAGGTTGTTAGAGAAGTCATCCCATTTCTCTTTCAGATGATTGGAAGTCTATCTTTGGCAATCCGACTAAGTTCGGATTGGGTGCTTTTACCGTACTATTCCAAGTATTATTTATGGTCCAACATTACATTTTATATAGAAATTCTCCATCGACAGATGGAAAGGACTTAATGTAGCAGCTTATTGACATTTATATCTATGCTTTGACACATAATACGTATGTAAATCGAATTTCTACGAATATAATAATTTTAACATCGGAAATGTTTATGTTCGTGTACAAAGTTATGAGTTTCGAGGCCAAAAGACAACGGTGTTACTTCGAGGGATGATTGTTGCATAGTCGGCCGTGATCGGTAGGTAAAGGAAAAGTCTGGGATACTGTCGATATGGTACTTATTTGATAGTGCTCAATTGTTAATTCCAATATGAAATTCGAGCTAATCACTCTGTGTCGCACGTATTTAATAGTATTACGAGCATGTTATAACGCTTGTTTAATACCAAAAGATATTAAACAGAGGAACAAGGAAGCTGCGGCAAATACCTACATCGCTGTCGCAATAGTATAATTAGAACTAGGTTACAGTTATTACATTATCATGAATTCATAAGGTAACAATTTATTAAGAGTTGTGAAACGCAAGCCAGCAATCTGGCCGCGAAATACTACAAAGGCATCAAGTTTCAATGGAAAATTAGGTACTATAATTGCATACGTAAAATGCAACGTATGCCAACTAATGCAATAAGAAACAAGGACACTATGTCAAAAAAAAATCAAGGAAGAAGATCAACAAGTCCTCTTGGCAACAGCAATAGTACAGGCCCAAGACATCCTGGGACAACGCCATCTACTACGAGCACTGGTAGACCCAGGATCCCAAGCATCATTCATCATCGAGCAAGCAGCTCAGCAACTGATGGTACCCAGGCAGAAAACAAGGGCAATGGTATCTGGATTGGGAGAAGGAAGTCCGACCAACGCAAGAGCAAAAGTGACGGTACATCTCCACCCTCGTCAGTCTAGCAAATACACACTGACAACAGACCTCATCGTGTTACCGAAAATAACTGGGATGTTACCAATGAAGTCAATGGAATTCGATTTGGAACCATGGCAGACCAAGATCCTAGCAGACCCAACCCTCAACATCACAGGTCCAATACATGTGCTACTGGGAGCCCAAGACTACGCCAAAATCATACTAAACGGTGTTACAAAAACGGCGTCTGCATTGCTAGGACAGCAGACCGAATTGGAATGGATAGTGTCCGATCAAGTCATGTATCCAGAGAAAAAAGGCACACCAGTCATCGGGATGGTTTCAACAATGGAAGAAGAAAGAAACCTGTCAAAATACTGGGAAATGGAGGAAGTCGAGGTGTCAAGCCGCTCCAAAGAAGAAGACATACAATGTGAGAACCATTATATGGCCACCACCACAAGAGGGCGAGATGGAAGGTATACAGTGAGGATACCATTTAAAGAAGCGCCTACCATGGTTAACAGTTCCCGTTCGCTAGCAGTAGCTCGACTGCACCAATTGGAAAAGAAGCTAGAAAAGGAGCATCGAGTACGCGAGCAGTACAAAGCGTTCCTTCAGGAGTACGTAGACCTGGGCCACATGAAACTAGTACCCCCCAAGGGAGAAGGAAGATACTACATTCCACATCAACCAGTCATCAAGGAAGCAAGTGCCACAACAAAGTTAAGAGTCGTGTTTGACGCGTCCGCAAACACACGTATCAACCAAGATACCAGGATGCCCGACCAAAAATTCCTTGAAGAGGAACCAGTCCTAAAGGCAGAAGACCACTTTGGGTCCATCATCAAAGAAGAAGCAGAATTACAAAACGATATACACAACACCATCTGGCGTACGGTTACGACTAAATCGGTCGCAACAAGCACCATAACTATACTTATCATCATCAGCACCATTGGGGTCATATTTGGACTCAAAAAATGGAAAACCAAACACAAGGAGGCAACTAGAAAAGAAGACCCAATGACGATGGAACCTTTGGACATCATCGACACAGATCCATCGCCGAGTTGGCAGAATGTTTAATACCAAAAGATATTAAACAGAAGAACAAGGAAGCTGCGGCAAATACATCGCTGTCGCAATAGTCTAATTAGAACTAGGTTACAGTTATTACATTATCATGAATTCATAAGGTAACAACTTATTAAGAGTTGTGAAACGCAAGCCAGCAATCTGGCCGCGAAATACTACAAAGGCATCAAGTTTCAATGGAAAATTAGGTACTATAATTGCATACGTAAAATGCAACGTATGCCAACTAATGCAATAAGAAATAAGGACACTATGTCAAACAAACACAAATACGTCATAATTAATTGTATATATAAACTGTAAATAATACTCAATAAATCACTATCGATTTGAATGTCGTTTAGTCGTTGGGGTTGCGAGGTCTCCAGTCATTCAATTTGTACAAGTGACGGTGTACAGCCTCATCTAGCAACCCTCCGTCAAGCAGTCTTCTATTATCCAGAAGATTGTTCAACGCTTATTATTCAGAAGGTTTATTTATGCGACACCAGCGAGCTTGCGAGTACCTACTGTTATTGTTATCATTTCCAATATCTCCGATGGTTGCAAAGATTGCGAAATCTGTGATTTTTTTCTATTTTGGTGCTTTAATGAGCACTTGATACAACCAGTTTGTATGGTGAGTTTCGTAATGAATATGAGTGTCTTAATAGCCCTTTACGCATGAGCAGTACCAACTTCCTTATTTACGAAAGCATTTAAATGAAATTTTATACATAAGCACTTGGAATAAAAACAAATCTAACATGAGTTTTACAATTTGTTTATATTTGTATACGCTCCACGATTTTTCAATAAATGTATAGGCTTCGACGATAGGCGGCTCATTTGAACGAGACTGGGGTAAGGATCTCATGTCTACCGGTATTTTTTCCCGGTCCTAGCATATTAATATTATTTAGTCATTTATGTTTGCATAATGACTTTTAACTGTTTAACTTGTTTTTGTTGAACATTGGTTGTTGGTATAGTAGTAGATGAAATTTCAACACGAAATGGGACCGACAACTTGATTATTTGGCATAGACCTCAATTGTAACAGGTGGCAAAATCTAACTTTTGGTAACACATATTTTTTAATGAATTGGATTTTGTACCGTACAAGAGTTTACGAAACTAGGTGCATCATGACGTTTACCGTTCGTAACGTCCGAGAACGGTCACTAAATTAAGCAACAATAAAAAATCAAAATTCATTTGTAACATTTACTTACATTGCAGCCATTTCTCGACACAGTCGCCACTCGCCATTCCGAATGAGACACTTATCATAGCTTGGTACAGGCCGTTTGATACCCTCCTTGTAGAGAAGAATAGCTCATCATAGACGTAGAAAAAATAGTGAATGAAGCTCGCTTTTAAACAATATTTTGAAAGCTTTGTTAATTTTACTTACATTCGTAGTGTTTACATATAATATAAAGTTTTATTTAAATAATTTCATAAATGAACAAGTATTTGCACAACTCTTGTGCAGATAAAGCGCATTTTTTTAACCGAAATAGCTTTTGTTTTGACATCACCAATGGATATACTTCTTGCACGTCTCAATCGCCCTTGGTGAGTACCCTCTTCCGACAATCCGTTCTTGAGGTAGAAGGGAATACACGATCACGATAAGAGGTCGAGGTGGAGGGCTAAGGTTGGTAGAAATTAATTCCTTTCGTTGAGACCTTTTATTAGAGTACCATGAAGGATGAAACTAGTTCCACTCCCTCCCTCCCCCCCAACCCGTACTTTGATAAGAGGTAGAAAGAAGGGCAGTAGTTGGTAGAAAACGGTTCGTTTCGTTGAGCCCTTTAATTAGAATACAATGAGAGATAACATTAATTTTTAACACCCCCCCCCCCCCCCCTCAAGACCCGTCGCTCACTGAGAGTCGCACGGGAAAGTTATACTTTTATACTGAAGGGTAGAACATGTGTTAACCGCCCCCCCCCCCCCACCATTTTCTAAAGTTTAACTTAACACCACTAAAGGCATGCGTATGCAAAATCTGCGACCAATTGGTTGTCGTATGTAAAAGCTATGCACGTTTTACTTTCAAAAACAGCATCTCAGAAATAATTCGTGGGGGGGGGGCTTTTAGACGGCGAAATTGATAGCCTTCTGGCACACCTTCAAGGTATAGGCTATACCTACTGCAAAAAATTCCAGGACTCTAGAACCATTCCCCTAGAAGTAGTTCAAAACGGTAGAAGTGGGTCCGGACGGACGGATGGACAAAACGCAAAATGCGATAAAAAGTTAGCATCGCACATGCGTTAAACCAAATTTTTGACACTGCGCATGTGCAAAACCAAAAAAATATCGATATGCACGGAATCCTTGGACAAAGCCCTTTCAAATGAGCCCCATGTCGTCCAAATCGGTTCAGTCGTGTAGAAGGAGTACTTGTGCAAGACGGACGGACGGACGGAGTACAAAGTGCAGTCAATAGCGATTTTTCATTTTGAGGAAAGTACGCTAAAAATATGTATTTGCTTATAAGTATTGGTTATAGGAAGTTATTTGTGATAACTTCTGATAAATGGTCGAGATTAAATGTGTTTAGAAGGCAGGGACAAATGCATCTACTATCATAGTGTAAGAATCTTACGCTATGCTACTATTTACTGAACAGTGAACAGCGTCTGAAGGTGGGAATAGACCAAGCAAACATGGTTGTGCAACAGTTGAACAACAGTCGAAAAACACAAGTTTACACAGTGAGTACGTGTTGCGCAACACTCGTGCAGCTGTTGCCGAACTGATGCGCGGTGTTCGCTCCCGAGGCGGTACTTCAAAGGAGATGTTGCCCTACGGTGTGCACACAGCGTCTTCAGTGTAGACGCGTATACGGGTCAATTTCACTTTTTCCATTCGAGAGAAGTAATTGAACAACATGTTGTCCTCCATTCTTAATTCTGGTAAAAAAAAACTGTTTGCTGTTAGCGTATATACTTCTTTGCCACCAGTCTCGCTTTGTACGGCCTCTTCGAGTTACTTTTATTTTCATAACTAAAAACGCGCACCACGCGAGTAGAGCATCCCTTCGTCGCTCATGACTGAACGAACATTGGACAAACACCGGAGAAGGCAGGCTGGTCGATGTTGATCAACAGTTTGTCGACAATGTTTTCTCCCCACGGAAACAAGTTAGCCAACAGTTGCCTATCTGTTGTTCAACTGTTGCACAACAATGTTTGCTTGGTCTATCCCACCTTTATCTCTTAATTCTTAATGTTTCGAAATATAACCGTTTAGCGTAACATATGGTACTACGTACAGTACATGTTACATCCTGTTTTGCGGGCACCAATTATTTAAAGTTTTATCAGCTATTAATTATTTATAGAACTGATTAGAAAAATCCAAATAACAAGTTAAACTGTTTACAGAAAGCAACTCTCCTCGATTAAAGTACATAGGTAGTATTCCGCAGCTCAAATGTGGGTGTATTTCTTATTCTCTTGCTTAACATTGACTGCGGCAGTCCTCATTCGACTAAAAGTTATCAAAGTGAGAACGAGATGGGATCGAAGTCCAACTTGTTTAGTTGGGAAAACTGCAATTGTAACGGGAGCCAACTGCGGTGAGTATACAATCGTTTTCAGTTCACCTTTTAAAAACACTTGCTTGGGTAGGACTTGGATTTTACACCGCTCAAGATTTAGCTAAACGAGGTGCGAGAGTTATACTAGCATGTAGAAGTAGGGAGAGAGCGGAGGCGGCGCGACGACAAATTGTGCGCGCTACCCACAACCAAAACGTCCATGTGAGAATAGTTGATTTTGCTTCGCTTAAATCCGTTAGAGAGTTTGCCAAGGAAATAAATAGTTCGGAGGAGAGATTAGACATTTTGGTAAATAATGCTGGAGCACTTATTTTCGAAGATGATGTTACGGAAGACGGTTTGAGTAAATTCATGCAAGTGAATCACTTTGGACCATTTTTACTCACAGAGCTGCTGATAGGTAGGCATTTTTTTAGTTATCAACTGTTATCTTAATAAACCGATACAACGAAATATCAAAGGATCCTCAGTATTACAATCACTTTTAACGACAATTTATTTTAATCTTACATAATACATTGTTGTGAAAACTTCCTAAGACTGAAACTATCCACACAACTTACCCTTGTTAGCTCAATCTCACAAAAACTCTTTAAAACACAAATCTCAGGGCCCGTAACATGAGTCCGACTACCCCTTTTTTCGTCCGGACAAGGGGTAGCAACCTCGCCAGATCGGTGCCTAATACCTCCCTTAAATTCCAAATATCCAAATAATCCCTTGTTAACTGACTTCTGGAATGAAATTTAAGTCCCACCGATGATCCAAACCTTTTTACGTTACCAAACTCGTTTCACACTCGGGATAAAAAAAGAAAACTTAAAATTTGAGAAACTCGAATCCTTGACCTTTACTTAGACACACACAAATAATAAATGACAAAAAACAAAAAAAAATTTACAAAGCTAAATTTACAAAATCTGAAAAAAATGACTTAGGTACACGACTTGAAACACAAAACCGTCTCAGACGGCGATTCTTACAATGGGGGTTTACAGTATAGTTGAATTCCGCAGTTCTAATTTAATAAGCGTGTACCTGAAACCATAAAACATTTTTTTGGACAGCAAAAGTTTATTTAAAAATAGAGGCTGATTAGCAAAAAAATAATGAACATGTGCGGTTTTAAAGGTTTATTCAAAACGATATGATTGTGACGTAATAAGCCCGACCAATCAGCTCCTAGAACCATTCAGATGACATAACGACTTGGCAATATTGCAGGAGAATGGCATTTATAACTTGCGTCATCTGTCACAGGCACTTGTCACTTTCGTGCTAGATGCAGTTAAACATCCCTCTCAAAACGTCAAATGTGATAAACGTCATATCCTCGCGTAAGGTTGCCAGCTCACTTCTATGTGATTGGTTGTAGATTTGTGACGTATTTAGTCTGAAGCGTTTCAAATTCGGACTAAAAACACAGCTTTTCAATAATTTATTTTGGGTTTATTTTACTCGCAAATAAAAATTGAGGACACACGGGTCTTTTTATTTTTAATGTACTTTGTGGATCAGAAATAAAAAATGAAGGCGGGATGACCCCATTAAATTAAAACAAAAATGACAGTACTCACGGTGCTAATCCTTTTTACAAATGCACAAACGACCGATGCACACAAAAACACAAACACAGCCCCAGGTATGTGCTGACACAGCTACTCCTACAGCTCCTCGGCGATGCTGGCGTTAAACAAACGTTCCGCCTACTCCAGATGATGTAAAATACAACGCAAACGAAATCTCGCTGCTAAAATGGCGTTATTGTACCGCTCGTTTCCCTTCAACAAACTCCGTCCAAAAACCTTCTTAACTCTTCGATGCCGGCGTAATCCACACGTTCCCGGACTTTCAAATAACAATAGACGATGAATAAACTGGCGTAACTTTAGCAAACGCCGCTACAATAAACTTTCCAAAAATTTTCACATAAGACAAACGTAGGCTTCGCGAAACGGTACAATAAGCGCCTTCTCTTCGCTGTTCAAAACCATTTATACCCCAGTATCGTCAAATCTCGTTGCGACGCTTTTCCATGAAAAATTCGAATTTCGGGGCCGATAAAACTTAACGGTCGACTCCGCGGACCAATACCATAATTGCATAAATAAAACTATTAACGATCGTAAATCAACTTAGACTGGCACTTTTACGAGTTTTAACACGCCAAAATTCCTATGAAATTCGCTCTTAAACAACTAAAAGTTTCCTTATCTAAAGCAACACTTGTGCAAAGCGCGTGCACTCTGCTAACTTCCACGAATTTAACAATAACAAGACAAAATTTATTACATTTAAAACACACTAATTACGGATTCGATTTTCCCAGACTTAAAGCTTCTTAATTAACTCCGGCCGAGCATTAATTGAACTAAAACAACGATCCTCTGTATAAAAATGGGAAATAAACTTCTTTCCAGAGTAAATAAATGCCGTCCAACTGCGGCCTAATAAAAAAACACAACAACATTTTATAGTTAACAAAAATGCATCAAATTCATGTCTTGGTCATTGAGATAATGCTCTTAATCTTGTTCCCAACGATATCAGTGCAAGAATAACGATTTTCACATATTTTGATCACAATTCATGTGGTCGCCATCAATAGATCAAATTCATGTTTTGGTCCTTGAGATAATGCTCTTGGTCTTTTTCCCAATGATCTTGGTGCATAAATAACGATTTTGACATGTTTTGATCAAAATCCACGTGGTTGCCAAAAATAGATCAAATTCATGTATTGGTCATTGATATAATGCTCTTGGTCTTTTTCCTAACGATCTTGGTGCATAAATAACGATTTTGACATGTTTTGATCAAAATCCGCGTGGTCGCCAAAAATGCATCACATTCATGTCTTGGGCATTGAGATAATGTCCCTAGTCTTTTTTCCAACGATCTTGGTGCATAAATAACAATTTTGACATATTTTGGTCAAAATCCATGTGGCCTCAGAAAAATAATTTTACATCTTTGAATCACACACATGCGGTTATCAAATGTGGACGTGATGTACTCTTTCAGCATCAAGATAATGCGTTTGAAAGCTTTTACAACTCCAAATTTATGTGTAAAGAATAATTTTGGGTACATTTTGCTCTAAAACTTTTGACCTATACCACAGAGACGAGTTATATTGAATTATTACACATCTAAGAGTCAAGGGAATAATCTAGCGAAAGTCCAAACTCGTTACATGACCTAGGGAATGAAATATGTTGATTTCTATTATATTGAGCCCGCAGTTTTTCCTGTTCCCGATTCACTCGAAGCCCTATAACTTTTGTTCCTGTTGAACCAGATTCCTGAAAATTAATAGCGTCCGTCCCTAATGTCCAAAGTACCCGTACACAATCAACACAATCGGTCACTTTTAAAAAGAGTTAGAGCGCACACGGACGGAGGGAGGGACGGACGGACGGACGACAATACAATACTATAAAGGATCTGAGGATCCTTAATAATGTTAGTAATAGTACCGACTTTGAACACAATATGTGGCTATAGGCGTACGTACCTACCACTTTACTTGTAACAATCTGTGTTGTGACTACTGCTTGTAAAGTGAACTTACATTCGTTTGTCGCTTTATTTTCCGTTCATAGGTATATACAGGGTGGCCCAATAGTGTGTGGACGGATCTCTGGGGGTTTATTAACGTACATTATTAAAGTTATTTTGAGGTACCTATTCTTTGACACATGGTTTGAAGTGCAACCGCCATCTTGAATTTTTTATATAGCAATATAGGTCACGTGATACGGCATATTTTTTCTCTTGTTTACTACTTAAAATAATGAAGAAAAATTAGAAAAACCATGCCATACGCTTAGATAGCTAATGTATTGCACTTTACTTATGGTTTGTTTCCTTATAACTTATAGAAATAAATCTTTAGTTAACCTTAGTTATCCTATGTCAAGTATGGACCATTTGACAGAGTTTCTTCGCTATTATTTTTTAATTTAACACCATTCATGATTAAGGTAATAAGAAATAGAGAAAAATAGGCTTTTTAATGATGTATCACATGACCTATGTTGCTATTTAAAAAATTCAACATGGCGGTCGTACTCAGAAACCATGTATCAAAAAACAATTTTTTTAACCTCAAAATATGCGAAATAGTTTCAAATGAAAGCGTTATGGCTTATTTCAAACAGTTTGCGCGTGAGATCTCTGGGCCATTCGTGTGTGGTTGGAAGATTGTGGGTTTATTAACGCATATATTTATATTGTCGGGGCATGTTGAAAGACTCTTAAGGCTACAACCTAACAATATTGTCAACGAAATTGTTAGGTATACAGGGTGATTTATATCAAAGTAACATTTTTTTAAATAGAACCCCTTGCATATTTCGATTCTTTGATCAATTTTAGTGTAACTTTATATAGGGCATACCCGAAAACCTATTCAAAGACCTGCCACCCATCTTTGTAACTCATGGTTGCTGAGAAAAAAATTAAAAAAGAAATCAAAATTTCACCAGTTCTTTGGGGTTGGCCCCCAAACGAAACGAACCCTCGGTTTATTTGGAAAAAGTGCTTGTCTTGATCCCCTCTCAATTTTTTTTACATACTGTGATGTAACACGCTGTATATACATATACACTTATATCGCCGCTATATTACACGATTTTGTCAGACACCGGCCTACAAATAAAAATGCCTCTGCACTTTTAAAATGCTAACATTTCTTTTAGATTTACTGAAGAAATCCAAGCCCAGCAGAATTGTGTACGTATCATCGTCATCTGTCACTCACGGTCAAATTCATCTTGACAATTTGAATTATTCTGCAAATTCTCGAATCGCAAGACTTACGTTCTCTAACTATGCGAACTCCAAACTTTGCCATCTAGCTACTACTAATGAATTGGCAAAACGTCTACGAGGTAGTGGAATTACCGTCAATTCTTTGGATCCAGGTACTGTCCGAACGGAAGTTACTCGTAATCTCAACATAATGACTCAAGGGCTGTTTCGAATTTTGGCATCCTTTTTTAAAGTGAATAGTGACATATCACAGCAAGGCATTGGTAAACTAAATGTGTAAAATTCTAGATCAGCGAGGAAGGGGCACAGACCTCAATCTATCTTGCTGTCTCTGATGACGTCCAGGATGTTACAGGAAAGTACTTCTATAACTGTGCACTTTCTGAAATGCCAAGTACTGCTATAGACTCTACTCTCAACAGGAAAGTATGGGAGAAAAGTGCAGAATTGGTTCATTTAACCCATACGGAGAGCACTCTTTAATCGTTATTTGTATATTATGAAGTGTAAAATATATAATATTGATGTTTTTAATGTTAAATTGCGTATTATTTAAAATAGTGATCGTTTCCGGTGCATAACCATAAATTGTTTTTCAAAAAGTACTCTGTCACAATCCAATTAGGTAACTAAAGGATGTGTGTTTTCGGTAACTTTAGTAAGGTCGGCATGAAAACCGATTATCACTTCTTATTTCCAAATGCACAATATTTAGTAATACGGCTTGTTACATTAAAAAAAAACACGAGAACGAAGTTTCTTAGAAATTAAACATTTGAAAGCGAACGAATTACAATGGTGCAATTAAGTTAGTTGTATAGTCGAATACAGAAGGCAATGTTTCCCGGTATAAATGTGCAATATTGTTCATAGAGGTACCAGCGTTGACCATTGATCAATAAATCTTAAAACTTCACCGCGGTCAGTAGGTACTTCAAGATAACTTCTTTTCATTCAGCGTTGATTGATTAAGTTAAATCAGTTGCAAGTAGCCTCTATGATTTACAACATTAGCGAGTGTATTAATTACCTCTCAATGAATTTGCGCCTCTTTGGAGTAGATGCGAAACTTTTACTGCAGCGCTTACTGATTTACATTAAGGGAAGGGGTTTCCGAGCTTATAAGAAATTATAGGAGTTTTAGATCTTGAGCATTTGACATTATGCAAATTACAGATTTTTGGATATCGGTATTGAAATTTTGAAATTTTTAGAAGAGGATTTTTGTTTGTTTGTTAAAATCCATAAGGGGGTTAAACTTTAATTCTAACGGGTTAATAAACTAAAACATCTTTTATTACTAAGACCACAGATCTGTGCTAAGACTATCTGGCCAAAGGTTATGACCAAGATCTGGTCGCACCCGGTGGTCGTGGTGCTGTACGGTCTGATTAGGTCTACCAACACAGATTCCCAAGGGAGCGTGGGTTCCCTGAGTCGGAGGGAGGCGTCGTCAACTGGGCCCCTCTTTACGGCGGCGGTGCACATCCAGGAGCTGCGAATGTACTTGTGAGCCCTGGCTTCCAACTTGGAGAAGTTATAAGTTTGGGAGATTGTAGTTTTGTTGGGATTTCGGGAAAAGTGATCCGCCAATTGGTTGTGCTTGCCGGGTTAATGTTGGCTGTTTTAACTAAACTCCTGGAGAAGGGGACCCAGAGGAGGTTTCGAACTGGCATAGCTGACTATGCGCCGTATCTGGCCCTCGTCTTAGTGATACCGGACCGCTGCAGTATACCACATCTTCTGAGATCGGTTTGGAGCACGAACGGTAACCAGGCGTAGGGACGATGGAGTTGCAGTTGCTGGCCGAGAGCGTCCGGCAGACTCTCGAACGCCTTGTTCGCGGCGACCTTCTACGTGAATCGGGCCCCCTTCTTTAGCATGTCGTTGAGTGGAGCTTGAATTTCGACAAGACGCGGCGGAGCTGCCGGCGTGTTGTGAAACTGGACGCGAAGCGAAGGCCTGCCACGTATTCTGGGAGTGGCCGGTTGGAGTCTGCCGTGATAGGGTGGCCCAGATACGTCACCTAAAAACTTAGACAAGGAAAGAATACAAAACGACAATTGTCTTGTGCGAGGCGCAGGTGGTGTTTCTGGAGCTGCTCCCTCACTATCCGCGGGTGGTCGAGGTCAGTTCGAATACACCACGATGTCGTCCAGGTAAACCATGGCGAATTTCCTCAGGATCCCCGGGAGTACCTTCTGCTTCATTAGCTTCTGAAAGGTGAACGGAGCGTTCCTTAGTCCGAACTCGAAACTGGTAGCAGGCGCCGTCGAGAGTCAAACAGGCGGCGGGACTCAGTTGCGAAAGGAACCTGCCAGTATGCACATTTGAAGTGTAGCAGAGAACAGCTTCGCTGTCCCCAGTTCTCTAAGTGTCTCGTGGAGCTTTCGTCAGCTATTCAACGTGCTATAGTCCAAAATCCCGGCATGTTTCTTTTGGACAATACGATTCTTTTGGACAATACGATACGAAACGTTTGGAGGAATTCCCGTAACCTAGATATCAGTAATGTGGGAAAACCAAGGTGGATTTTTTCGATCTTCGGCGTGACATTCTCGGCTGTCTTAGCAAAACGGGCCCAGTGGGTGGTGTGACGGCGTTCTTTTACCCAGTGGACACATCGGCGACTGCTGCTATGCAGCCAGTCCTGATCCAGATCGTGGGTTTGGTACTTCTGTTGGTGTGGTTGGCCAGCCGACGGTCGATGAAGTTGTGAGAGGTT